ACTGAGCCTTCTCCCCGGCCCCTAAAACTGAAGAGTTTTGTACTGTAGAACTGCACAGTGATGGGGACATTTTTTGAGGGTTCATATAAAGTTTCAGCTCTTCAGGATAATAGCTCGGGGGAGTGACCCATGCCCAGTGTGTAGTGGCAGTGTGGCGCTTTGTTGGGTCATCTTGAGAACTCTGGATGGCCCAAGTTTGGTACTGTTTATGTTTGTGTGTTTACAGGGAAAGGGATGTTCTTTTAGCACGCTCTGAATGCCTCTGACTTTCACCCTGTGTGTCCCATTGCGTGCAGGTAGAGAGCCTCTGGGAGCTTCTGTGCCCCCTGCTGAGAACAGCCTTGTCCAGCATCACAGTGGAAACCTATAGCGACTGGGGAGCCTGCATAGCCACATCCTGCGTAAGTGCCCTGTTGGCCTGAGGCCCCTGCCCAGTCCGCTTACTGACGCGTGTCTCAGAGTGAAGGGAGCCACACCATGACAGTTTGCTCTTCTGTCATCTTTTATGCAAATATTTTAAAAGCAAATCTTTTATCTGAAGATAGTACTTTTTAGCTCTTCAGATAAGCCTAAGGTAATAATTCTTAAGGGATTTTGATATTGCCTGTGCTATAGCAATAGGTTTTTAAAATAAATGACAAAACATAGTTGGAAATGTAGCTTACATAGAGTAAAAGCTACACAATGTAAAGATTATAAGTATTTTTTACAACACCAAATGTCTATAGCTCACATACTTCACCTTAAGATTAGCCCATTTTCCTAACAATTTTGTTAACTGTTAACATGAGCTATGATAATTACATTTGGATTCGACTCACAAATTTTAGGATTTTATTCATGTATCGTTAATATACTTGTAATATTTCTAAATTAACTTGAATTTTATTTATAGAATTGTGGGCCCTCTATTTAATTATTACTTTATATCTTCAACACAGGAAAGCAGAGATCCTCGGAAACTTCACTGGCTTTTTGAGCTGCTATTAGAATCACCACTGAGTGGCGAAGGAGGATCCTTTGTAGATGCATGGTAAACACCTGGGAGATTATCGCAGAGTAGTTACCTCACAATGCCAAGGTTTGAGTTAATCTGATGTATAATGGAGATGAATTATCTGCACATTTACATACTAATTACTTCCTGGAAGACATCCATTTCACTACACTGTGTAATCGCTATTTCTCAGTTGGGAACAAGTAGAGAAATACAGGCAGTGTGAGCAGTTTCTGTGTAAGCTACATTCAACTGTCTCTGCTGTCCCTGCTTTTGTTAGGGTCGCTTCATGTACCTTGGCAGTGTTTTCTTCCTTACTCCATCTCATTTTCATTCTTTGCTGTAAAGAAAGAAGAGGGACTGAGCATGCTTGCCCCATGTGCTCAGATTCAGTCCCCAGCACCACAGAACGAAAAACGTTACGAAGGAGGAAGTAATCATTGAAGGGCAACCGCACTGGGTGGTAACATGAGGAGCTGGAAAGGAGTGGGCAAAGAGAAGCCTGGCAAATACTATTGAGACAGAGAACAGGTGTCTTGTTAATTAGTGACAAATTTGAATGCTTACCCTTAATTTTTTTTTTTTTTAAATATGTTTAGTACAGGGTCTACAGGGTTTCACTACATAGGTTGAACTCGCCGTAATTCTCCTATGTTCAGCCTCCTGAGTGCTGGGATTATAGGCGGGCACCACCTTGCCCACTCAGTCCCTGTCTCAACGCGCCCTGGGAATGGGGCCGGCACGGCACCCCAGGGTCAAACCCTGCCTGCTGCGCTCTGCCTAAGCAGGTGCTTTAGTGCACTGAGCTATCTGGCTGGCCCCGATTCTTAATCTGAAAGGGGTTTGTCTTGTTTTACAACTGTCTAGTGGAGAATAAATGTATGTACAAAAAGAATGATGTGGGGAAAATTAAATCTTCATAGAGATTTAATGCTTTTGTGAGATGATGGAACACATTTCAGGTGAAGTACAGACATCGCTTATCGTGTCTGTATGTAAAGGCCGAAAGGGGTTCGAACATAATGGTTCTGTCCTTTGGTTTTAGTCGCCTTTATGTGCTACAAGGTGGACTCGCCCAGCAGGAGTGGAGAGTGCCCGAGCTGCTGCACAGACTGCTCAAGTACCTGGAGCCCAAGCTCACGCAGGTGTACAAGAACGTCAGGGAGCGGATTGGGAGGTAGGTGCTGTCATGTGCAGCAGGAGCTGCCCTGGCGTTGCCTGTGTGGCTGCCTCACAAGCGATCCCAGTGCCAGTCGTTGCATTCTTCTCCATCTTGCTTACTGTTGTAAGAAGTAAGACAGGCGTCTCTGAATACAAACCAAGGAAGCAGGGTGCCCAGAGGTCAGACTGCAAGCTCAGTGACAGGCTGACTTCTGTGTACAGGGGGCTGGAGACCCAGCTGAAACCTAACTGGGGAAAGTTGACTTTGTGTCATGACTTGCGCGCCGCATTTTTCGTGGTAGTACGGCACTTTCTAATATTTTGCCTTTTACTTAACAGTGTGCTGACCTACATATTCATGATAGATGTTTCTTTGCCAAATACTGCACCAACAACATCCCCTTGTATCCCTGAGTTTACTGCTCGTCTCCTAGAGAAATTAAAGCCCCTCATGGATGCGGATGAAGAAATTCAGAACCATGTCATGGAGGAAAATGGTGTTGGTGAAGAAGATGAGCGAACTCAGGGTGTTAAACTCTTAAAAACCAGTGAGTGGCTAAAACTACTTGAAATTTACCTGAAAACATACAGTTATTTTTATTCTCCCTTGTTTTCTTACCAGTAATTTTTATTGTGGTAAAATATACATTATGCAAAACTGGCCATTTGAACCATTTTAAGTGTGTCGTTCATTGACATTAAGTACTGTCTCAGTTATTTTCTTGTTACTGGGACAAAATACCTGACACCCCAAATTAAGCAAGGAAAGGTTTAGTAGATGCAGTGAGTGGGGGTTGCAGTCTGTACTCTGCTGGCTGCAGGCACAGTGAGTGGCACATGGCAGAGGGCAGGATTTCATGGGGGCAGGAAATAGCAAAGAGCAAAAGGGGGAGCTGGGGCAGCTGCCTCTCTCCCTTCCTTATGTTGTATTCAGGCTGTCCACCCCAGGGCGGGTGTAGCACTTAGACCCATAATCCCAGCGATTGCTCATGAATTAATTAATCACAAACTCCAGAAGCCACCCATGACTACATGAGGCTTTGGGTGGACTAGACACAAACCATAACAAGTACTTCCACACTTGCAGCACCATCGCCACCACCCATCTCAGTCTTCTCTTGGTTGTGCAAAACTGGAACTCTTCCCATGAACTGATGACTGCTGTTCTTACCCTTCCCCTAAGCAGCCGCCATGCACTTGGTCTCAGTTTGCCTCTTCTACTCTGCTCCTGTCTGTTAAATACACGGTGTTGCTCCTCTTGTGTCTGTTGTGTTTCACTTTGCATAGTATTTCATGGTTAACCTATTTGGTTGTATAAATGAGAAATGCATACCTATTTTGCCTTTATCCATTCATGGACATTTGGGTTGTTTGCATGTTTGACTATTACGAAGAATGCCACTGTGAACATTGGCATAAAAGTACCTATTTGATTTATTGCTTTCTCATTTTTTGAGTGCATACCCAGAAGTGGAGTTTGCTAGAGGATATATTTGTGTTTACCATTTTGAAATGCTGTCAAACTTTTCCACAGCAACTGCTTTTTGCATTCCAGTCATCAAATTACCAGGGATTCAGTTTCTCTAAGCCTTGCCAACATTATTTTCTGTTTTGTTTTGCTAGTTTTCCCCATGATTATAACCATCCTGATATGCAGTAAGAGCTATCTTGCTGAGATTTTGATTTGTATCTGTCTATAGATAAGTAACACTAAACAGTATGGTGTTGGCCAGGGAGATAGCTCAGTAGAAATAAGCGTTTGCCTGGCAAGCACAAGGGCCTGAGTTCAATCCCTGGTTCCGTCCCTCGCCCCCCCCCCCCAAAAAAAAATTCTAAACGTTATGGTGTGCATTTTGGCCATTTGTATATTTTCTTTTGAAATTTCAAGTCATTTGCCTTTTTTTGTTTTTTGTTCTTTGGCGGAACCGGGGATTGAACTCAGATCCTTGTGCTTGCTAGGGAAGCGCTTTTTCTACTTGAGCCATCTCCCTGGACCCCGATTTTGATGAATTAAGTTGTTTTGTTGCTGTCGAGTTGTAATTTCTAATGTACCAGAAATATCGGTACTTACCAGGTAGATGGTTTTCTTCTATTCTGTGGGTTCTCCATTATGTTCTCGTTATTGACTTAATGTCTTTTTTAATGACTGAAAGTTCAGTTTTGATTGTCTATTCATATCTCCTTGAAAATGATTGCAGACTGAATGTCAGAAAGTTTTTCCTTTTACATTTTCTTGAAAGAGTTTTTATAGCTTTGGATTTGACATTTTGGTCATTGGTCCACTCTTGAGTTATTCTTTGTACATAGTATCAGGTAAGTGTGAATGTCTTACGTGTGGACATCGGTTTTCCCTCCAGCATTTGTTGCAAGAAAGTCTTGGCCCAGCTTTTACAAAATTGGTTGACCCTTGCTGTAAGGGTTTATGGATTTTCTGTTTTGGTCCATTGGTTTGTATGCCTGTCCTTAACGCCTGTCCCACAGTATCCTACTGTTGGTTGCTGTAGCTTATTAGTAAGGTGTAAGTCAGTAAGCATGAGTGTTCCGGATTTCTTAAGATTATTTTGAGTATTCCAGGTTTCTTGTTTTTATATTTGAAAATTTTTTGAGAATTCTAACTATAATCCACTTGATCATGATTTTTGCTGCCATAAACTATTGAAGACTAGTTTTAACATAAAACTTGGTCTAGATTCTTGATAGGTTGTTACAATAATTTGTAGATGTTGGGCAGTAATGCCTGTGTTGGGTTAGTGGGGAGCCTTTTTAGGATCCTGTTTCACTACTGATTGGCTGGTGTTTCGTGGGTGAGCTGCCCTACGCGGTCTCATTCGTAGCACTAGAGAGCTGTCCGAGTGGTCGTCTGACACTGGTTTTCCAGCACAGCTCTGTTTGTGCTCTTTCTGATTATGCGTGTTCTTCCCACACAGTACTGAAGTGGCTGATGGCGAGTGCAGGAAGGGCCTTCTCCGCAGCAGTCACAGAGCAGCTTCAGCTTCTGCCTCTGCTGTTTAAGGTAAGGCTGCAGGTGCAGTGAGCGTGTATCCCCGTGCCCTTCGCAGTATATTTGCCATTGTCTCTGATGGTTAGAGTTTCTTAGACAGTGTATGAAGTTTTACTGCATCTCTGAGAATTGCAAGGAAAACTATTAGTGGTTTAGTATTTTGGGTTTTTTTTTATTTTTTTTATTTTTATTTTTGGCGGAACCGGGGATTGAACTCAGACCCTTGCGCTTGCCAAGGAAGCGCTTATTCCACTGAGCCATCTCCCCGGCCCCAATATTTTGGGTTTTTTTTTGTTTTTGTTTGCTGAATTTTTTTGCTTTTTCCGACAGGATGTTGTCATATGCATAATTGGGGCTGGTCTCACACTCACTGCAGTCCTCCTGCCTCAACTTCCCCAGTGCTGGGATTTCAGGCGTGTGCTACCCAGCTCGTGGAAACAATATTTTAGTGTGACGTGAAGGGAAGCGGGATCTTGACAAACACATGCACATTTCACAGCTAGACTTTCATTGTATTGATAGAGAAAAATACTTGTTAAAATAGTTAAATCTACAAGAAAATTTCTCAGTATGACCATTTAGTATACAATGAACCTGAAGACTAAAGTGTCCTGTGTGTTGTTGTACAGTGTGAAAGGGCTCCGCAGTGTTGCCAGCAAATATCTGCAGGTCATTTTATTGATGAGAGAAGTGGTTTACTTACTGCTCTACCCACAGGATGATGCAAGCAGAGCCGGGTCATGGGCCTGGAGACACACATGCCTAACACGGGCGCGGCCTGGCAAGGTTAACTAACAGCAACTACAGATCACACATGGACTCAAGAGTTTCCAACACCGTAGTTTTCAGTTATCATATTTTGGTGTTTGGCTGCGGTTAAGAGGACTCACGATACTTTTGGAAATTTTGGTGCAAACACCATTACTACTTGGTGGTCAGCCAGTGTTATTATTTAAAGCAGGCCCTTAATCACAAATGACATGCTAAACTTTTTTTTGACGTGTGGCAGTTAGGGATTGAATGCAAGACCTTCCCTCAAGCTACATCCCCAGCCCTTTATTTTTATTTGAAACAAGTTAGGTAGGCTGGGCTCCAACTCAGCCTCCTCCTGTCAGCCTCCTAGTGTGCTGGGATTACAGGTGTTTGCTACTAAACCTTGCTGACTGGGTAAACTTCTGACCTGTCCCAATATGTTGTGTCTTGGGGAAATTTGAAAAATAATGCTAACAGGAATGTTCATAGATTTTACTACTATAACCTCCAGGAATGCTTTGCAAGGGCTGATACTTTATTTCTAGGATCTCTGGGCTGTAAAAGTGGAGCTACTGGCATATGGGCCCCTCTTAGCCGCAGGTCTCTGATGGAGTTTGCAGGTGCCTCACTTAGAGTAGTAGCACTTCAACGCCGTTCCTCTGTCATGTAGCCCAGTGGATACAGAATATGATTGCGATGTGCATAAATTGGTGCTTTTCAGTAATGGCCGAGACAGCTGGCTTTCACCCCAGCCAGATCGTAGTGAGAGGGTGGTCAAGCTGTGAGGAGAAGGGTTTGAACCGTTTTTGAAATTTATGGAGAACTCAGATGGGGACGTTGTCTTACGTGCATCTCACCTGGCTGCTCCTCCTGTTGGATTCAGCTGTCACAGAGGCATCACAGCACTTATTTTTGGGCAGCTTAGATGTGCGGCTTGAAGAGAAACTTGTTCACTGAGCTAGTGGCGCAGAGGGGCCGGGGTAAGATGGAGAGCTCCGTTTGAGCTTGTCTCAGATGCACGCACTGTGATGTGGCTCAAGTGCTGACTGTGAAGTTCAGGGTGGGGTCCAGCCCTGAGCGTCCTCCGGGTGCACAGTGGGTGGTGGTCTCGACCGTAGGCCAGATGAGGCCCTCACAGGCTTGGTCACGTGAAGATGAAGAAAACCTCTGGGATTGAGCCTTTGTGTATAGGTTGGGCGACGAGGATACAGTAAACCTGGAAAAAGTTCAGCTGAAATATACCCACCTGGCAAGCACAAGGTTGTGAGTGTAATCCCCGGTTGGGGGGTGGGGGAGAGAGAGAAGAAGATGGGAGGAGAGAGGGGGAGAGAGCGATTCCCTGTAAATTACTTTATTTGAAATACATTAGAATAATTACAGGAAAAATTATTATCAGCTCTTAAGTTTAAAAATTATTTACCCATGTGATTTTTGGAGGTCAACATGTATGTGGTATTCAGTGTATTTTAACATCTTTTTCTGATACTTGTCATTTGTTGGTACTTGCTGTGCAAGGGAGAACTTTTGGTATCGGTGTTCTCACGACTTGCTGCCCTTCCTAACCGAAGTTGTTCGCCCCGTGCTGCTCTGTTTTGGTTCTGCTCTCACCTTACGGAATCTTCCTCCCTCCCTCCTTCCGTTTAAATACGCTATTTTGTCAAAATTTTCAGTGCCCGTAATAACGTATTTTTCTCCTTTTATAAATAAAAATGTGTTATAAGAAATTAAGAAAAAAGAGTAAAAGAAAAAGATATTAAGTGCTTCTTTCAAAAAACTAGCAGGTTGGCAGTAGAATTATCCACATTTTCTTGCATATATAGATAAATACATCTTTTTCCTTTTTTTTTTTTTAACTTTTGTATTCTTTTTTCTTTTGTGGTCAGCTGGCTCGGCATATGGTGCTGGGGATCAAACTGCAGTCCCTGCACTTGCCTAAGCAGGAGCTCTATACC